CAGGATGAGCAGGGGTTGCTCGTTGCGGATGGGGCGAACCGGGAAGGAGCTGTGGTCGCCTTCCACTGCCTGCCAAAACACGAGAGCCGGTCGGTGCAGCCCTGACCCTGCGGAGAGGGACAGATCCTCCCCCTGGTCACCCCGGGCTGGTGGTAGAGACCCTGCGCATCAAGCGCTTTGGAGACTCCCGTGCATCAAGCCTATCAGAGACCCTTGTGCATCAAGCGTCTTGGAGAATCCCCGTGCATCAAGCATTTTGGTGACCCTTGTGCATCAAGCATCTTGGAGACCCCCACGCATCAAACACTTCCGAGACCGCTGTGCATCAAGCGCCCCGGAGAGCCCCATGCATCGAGCATGTCAGAGACCCCCACGTATCAACCGCCTTGGAGACCCTGTGCCTCGGGCATTCTGGAGACGTTGGCACATCCAGCAGTACCAGAGCAAGCGCTACCACATCAGAAAGGACTCAAATCTCCCCAAAGCCGAGCATGACTCCAAGCTAAAGATGGCCCCAGGACCCCTCGGGAGGCAGCCGGTGGGAAACTAGCAGGGTGGAGAGGACTGGGGGACGAGGAGTGGGGCTGCCGGGGGCTGAGTTCCACCACGAACCACCAGCATCGAGGGCTTTGCTCGGCGTGGAGGAGAAGCGGGCATGCTCACCATGTTGAGGAGCTCCTGGAGCAGACGTTGGGTGGGCTGGCCCTGGCTCCTCAAGACTTCGTAGAGGTGGGCATAGCCAATGCGCTCCTTGAACACCTCCTGCAAGCACCCGGGCACGTGGGACCCTGCGCTGAGCCCCACCACGTGCTGCTTTCACCCCAACCCAACCTCACAGCATGAAAACCCCCAAACCCAGCCATTTTTGGGGTGTCTCCCCCACCCTGGTCCACTGCCTACCTTGGCCGAGGGCGAGTTGCTCATGATGGCGGTGAGCACCCCGATAGCGTGGACTGCGATGGCGTCGGAGCTGCCGTCGAAGACCTACGGAGACACGGGGGTGGTGGGTCTGCTGAGTCATGGGGTTGGGGGGACACAACCCACCACGCCTGGTGGTTTGGTTATGGGGTGGCCCCACACGATACCTGCTGGAGCCCCGCGTCTGGCGGCCGCGCGGGGCCCGTGAGTTGCTGAGGTAGAGCTGTGGGACATGGGGTGGGCATCAGCCCCGGGGAGAAGCACCCGGTTCGGGGTGGGGGGGAAGAGGGAAGGGGGCTACGGAGTGTCCCCACCCCAGGGATGCCGCTGCAGCGCAGCCGCCCCGTCCTGGCATTGTTCAGAGCCAGGAAGGGTGAGGAGGGGAGCTGAGGGTGCCCAACCCCGGTGTCATCAAGGGGGGACACCAACGTGGCCACCCTGGTACCTTGCTGTTTTGGAGGAGGCGGATGATGTGCTCGAAGCAGTTGTTGCTGAGAAAGACGGCTTGTAGGACCGGCCGGTCCTCGCAGCTCAGCATGGCCGGGATGGCATCTACGGCCGGGTGGAGGTGGCTCAGCACCCATCCCGCGTCCCCATCCCCATCCCCGTCCCCAACCACCTACCCAGCATGAGGACGCGGAGAGTGATGAGGCCACCGGCCGCCCCCGGCGCCCAGGA